TACAAAATGGAAAAAGAAGATATATTTTATAGAAAGTTTGATAGTATTCTCCTAATGCAAGCTATTACGTAAAAATCATAAATTTGTGAGAATTGTTTCGAATATTCATGATACTAAAGTTTGAATAGTTAATAACATAGAAGAGTAAAGAGAAATAAAAGAGAGAGATAAACCATGAAGGGAATATCCAAAGGAGTGGCAAAACAAAAGAAGGACCAACAAACACATAAAGCTTGATGTGATGGTCATCTCTTCTGTATTCTTCTCTTAGCTACGAAAATGTTCACACGAATGAGTTATGAGATCGTATTATGCMAGGATGATGAAGATTAGAAGAAGGTTAACTAGCGTTTATATAGGAGATTAAAATTTAAAAGGTAGGAAAACACAAATTAAGAGAATGTCAAATCTATTCTATTTTTATTTTTACCATAAGCCATGTGTCTATGTTGGGAACCTGCCATAGACGTTGACATGCGTAAATTCCCAAAAAATGTAGGATACTGTAAATTACAACATGAAAATCCAAGTTCACACTTCACAGCTATCACTATTGAGAGTTGAGACTCTTCCAACTAGGTCAAAACAAAATTAAGTGAATACAATTTCATATATTAATCAATGCAATTTTTAAATCTAATTCTATATAGTATTTGAGATAAGCTTACAATACTATCTTTTTTAAATACATGGCCAATTAGAAAATCAAATAAGGTACTGTCCGTAGAAATCGAAAGGAAAAAACATCTTGTTGACCAAATATATTAAAGAAAAAAGAACATCCTAAATCAATACAACATACCTTTTTAATTTATTGGAAAGTGTAAAATAAGTAAGAAAAAGGGGAAAGCAGTGCATAAATGCGCGGGAAACACATTTTTATATTTTGTTGAGAGCAATTTAATTTCCAAATTGTGGAGCATTCACTATTTTCATATCGCTAGAAGCCTAGAACCATATTAGCCAGCAAATGTAAATATTTTGTTTCCATTTGATATAAATGATATAATTTTTCGGGAATCATTTTTTTATGATCTCAATTTATTTCTCTCAAAAATCCACGGAGTTTGAAGGTGAAAAAGCAAGAAATTACATAGGGAATGCCCCAAAACATCGAATAAGGAGAAGAAACCTAACGTAAAATGCAATTCACAGATGTGCGTGTTTTGTGTTTGTCTCTTGCTATATTGCCACTTTTTTCTCATATTCAAGAACAATAGAAATTGAACTTGCTTAATTATATATACTTAGTCTTAATCAACGCATAAATAGTTCTTTCTTAAAACCTAATTAAACACACATATACATGTTTTTTTTTTTGGCATCACTAACGTAAATGCTATAAAAATTGAATCATAGTAATTTGAAGTAGCTTGACATAAATAAAAATAGAGAAATCTATATATAAATTTCAAACTGCCATTAGTTACATCTCTCGTAGATCATTTGAAGCCTATAAGATCACCAAAATTTAGTCGGAAGAATCCTTTTTTTTTAATTGAAGGCGAAAAATTAAAAATAATAGGCAGATTGAAGGAAGTCGGTCCAAACATGAGTTATAAAATTAGTTAATGGACAGTAAACATACATGGATGATGAATCAGTGGGGTGTGGCATGTAACCTATGGTCTGTATAATTTCACTAATTGGAGAATGTGTATCTTTGTTAGTATCAATATTATGTATGCTATTTCCCCCACATTGCACCAAAATTTAAGTATTTATTTGCTTTACCCGATCAGGATTTGCAACCTACACCTACCTTTTTTGCAACTTTTTTCTTTTATTAAAAAAGTAAATAAGACTTTTCTACTTCTTTGCCTTGCGTACGTGCTCAAGCACTTGATTTAGAAGTGCATGAACTATTTGAATGGTTTAATTTATTGGGCCTGTAGTCAAAGCCCACAATGAGTAACCATTTGCACATAACCAATACCTTTTAAGAATTTGTGACAAATCCGAATTATATGGGCCATATATGATTTAGTTATGCATATAGGCCTAATATGTGATCTCATATTTGTGTTAGATTAAAATCCTTAAAATTATGGGATCTCATTTTGAATTAAAGACATTCCATTTCGACTGATTGACATTATCATCAATAATGCAAATAAGCAAAAGTTTGAATTTATATTCGTTAACCCAAAAAGGTATTGCTCGTGTAATTCCAAAAGACAGATTGATGTGAATTTTCCTTAAGTAATGATGATATTAAACTTTCTGTCCCTCCAAACGAATAAATTACAAATTAATTTAGAGCCATTTATTCTCCACTACACATCATTCTTTCCCTTTATTAGGTTTAAATTTTCTAGTCATTAATTAATTAACTATGTCTCTAATGCAAGTAGCATCTAGAAAACTAGAACAAATGATCAGTATGTGGGCGTGTGTATCCTCATATATCATTTGTTTTATACTGATAATAAACATTCTCATGTTTTCACGATTTTCAAATGTGATTATGAAGGGTATACATCGTTACAACATTCATTTTCGTCATAAATTTTTTTTTTAGTTTAGGGTTATTTTATGTATTACAATTTACAAGTTAATTCGTAACATCCATCTAGAAAGACATTTTGTTATATCACTTCAAATTAATAAACCCATCAAAACCAAGAAAGAGAAACATTTTGCATAATTAAGGATTATATTAAGCATGTGACAAAAAAAAAGGATTATATTAAGCCTTAATTTTCGCCATATAAGTTTATATAGATACCATATATAAAAATTAAAAAAAAAGAGCATTAAAAAACAAAATCTTAGCTTCCATTTCTAACCACAATGGAGATAAATAAACATTATCTATAGATTATAATAGCACCCATCATTATTGCATATAGCCCATTATTCTTTTCATCTAATCACTTAACCTTCAAAAAAAAGAAAAGAGAAGAGATTCTTGAGTAGAAAATGGGAACTACGACGTCGACGATGGCGGCGAAGCTAGCATTCTTCCCACCAAATCCACCGTCGTACACGGTGGAGACAGAGGAAACGACGGGGAAGATGAGGATATCGACGGACATGATGCGTCACCGGAGAGATGAGGAAATTCAAGTGGTGAAGATAAAGACAAAAAGAGGGAATGAGATCATGGCCATGTTTGTCAAGAATCCAACCGCTAAACTCACCGTTTTGTATTCTCATGGCAACGCAGCCGATTTAGGTCACATGTTTCTCATCTTCACCGAACTAACTCATCATCTCAATGTCAATCTCTTGGGGTTAGTCTATATATTATATAAGTTTCATAATGATATTAATAGCATCTATATGCATCAATCTATGAAATTGACTTGTTTGATTTTATAGGAATTTGATACACTGTTTTATGTTTATTTTGACCTTTTGGGCATACAATCTTTCCCATACATTTTTTTGTTTGTGTGTGAAAGAGACAAGATTCTTTAGTTAACAAAGTGATGGGTAGTTCATTAGGCATCACAAAATTTGTATTTGTGATTAGCATAGAATTCTTAATCATATAAAGGATTATATTCAATAAAAATAAGCATTTTTAATCCCAGCAAACATCATTTCGTCAAATTTCTTAGCTCATTATTATATTTTAAGACAACTAATTTTAAAATTGATTCCCT